GGAGAGCAGGGGGGGCCGGGACTGACCCCGTCACGTGCAGATCCCGAGGTGCTGTCAGGTCCGCACACGGTCCAGAGAAGGGTGAGTGAGTCCGGCTGCAGCTCCACCACAGGCTCAGGAACAGGGACAGGGCTTCTCCTCCTCCCCAAGGCGTCAGACGCAGCCAGGGCTCCCAGCACCGATCGCGCCCGCCTCCCAGCCACTCCCCCGCCCCAGCCAGAAATCCAGGAATTACCGGACATTGCGCATGTCCGGTATTTTCTGGATTTTTTTAACCGGACAGAGGGCCCAGAAAATGGACTGTCCAGTAGAATACTGGACACCTGGCAACCCTACGAAGGCAGATTGCTGTTTGTGAACCTTCAGTGCTTGGCTTCTGTACTGGGATGGGGGCCATTTGTGATGTAGGCAGCCATCAGCTAAGAAGCCCACTGAGACCACCAGCTCATGCAATACCATTCTGTGTGGCCTGTTTTCATTCTCCTACAAAATAAACAGGTCAAGGAGTAGATTCAGAGACTAGCCTTGACTATTTGACCTTTTCTGTGCATGAGCCAAAACAACCAAGAAACGTATTATGAAAAAGGATAATTTGGGATGGTAAACAAAGCGTCCTAAAACTCCATGATCTTACCTGGGTGACTGTGAGCAGCTTTTTCTCCATATCTGAAAAAATCCACTTGAGATAACATGCATCAGCTAAGAGCAGCATCACGCTGCCACTGCACACAGAAAACAAAATCGCAGTCAGCAGTTTTCCAGGAGCTTTGTGGCTTTCCCAGTCCCTGTACTGGCAGTCTATGCTTGTTAGTGATGGGTAGCTCAGCTGGCTAATTGCACACACAAGGCAGCATTGCTTTCTCCTCTAAGGAACAACTAGTTATAATATTTTTCAATCCTCCCCAGCTCCATTTATTTTTTATTCTCCTCTCTGTGGTTCTTGTTTGTGACCCCATTCTCCAATTGTATCCTCTCCACTCTGATTCCCTCTCCTCTGTCTGCAGGCCTTCCTGCATCTTTCTCTTGGCCTTGTCTGAACTGGAAAGTTGTACCACTAGTGTAGACCTCTCCGATCCCTAGTATGGTCACAGATATATAGGTTCAAAGATGCTATTCTTGTATGGGAAGAGGTATAAACTATACCTATATAAATCAAAAGGCTTTGGAATTTTCTTCTTCACTTAGTCCAACAGATCAAAGATTTGGTGACCTTCAGAACACTCTGTATGACACACACACACGCATGCATTTTCCCAGGCTTTTCTTGGAGAGAATGTGTGTACGACTGATGGATGGGATGACTGAGTAAGGAGGCTGGGCAGAGTGACAATGGAAAGAGGAAGCAAACATTTTTTCCAACGGCACCTCCTGGTGTCCCTGGGTTTGGGCAGCCTGTTATTGATCTTTAAAATGTGCTTTAGTACTATTTGTATAATGAGCCTGTGTTGAGAGAGGTGCAGTGTACAAGTTCAGACAAATGCTTACATCTGAGAACATACAGTTGTCGTTAAAGAGCTATTCAGCATAGTTACAGGCAAAGACATTAGCACCATCAGCTCTTTCAAAAATTCTATTAGGTCTGGGCATTCAAGATTCTCTGTTGGGAAATGAGGGCTTGTCTACTAGACCGTGAATGGACACTGCAGTGATTGATCCACTGGCAATTGATTTACTGTGTCTGCTTAAAGATGATAAAATTGACCTCCGATCACTCTCCTGTCAACTCCAGTACTCCACCAGGACAAGAAGAGTAGCCGGAGTTGATGGGAGAGCAGCCCCTGCTGACCTTACTGTGTGGAAGACACTATAGTAAGTACATCGACTTCAGCTACGCTATCTGCATAGCTGCAGGTGTGTATGTTAGATAGATGGGGGGAAGGGTAGCGTAGACTAGGCCTGATAGATATCTCCTGCTAGTTCCACGCAAGATAAGTTGGTTCTTGTGCAAGAGTCAATCATTAACACAGACATTCATATGCATGATACAGTCTGTGTGTCTGGGTGTCATCGCAGGGCAACCTCCAACGGCTGGGGGAGGAGGGCTCTACACACACCTTGCGTTAGTTTCCCTTTAACGTCTCCATATAATCCACTTATACACAGAATCTTTAAAAACAATATCCCCCTTCCTTTATTCCGATTAATCAATTCCCCCAAAAGAAATCTCCTGCTAGATTCAAGGTTTCACAGCCCTCCCTCTTGGTCTGTGTTCATCTAGCCCTGACCTCCCCAGCTTGTAAAATCCCTCCTCAAGTTCAGAGCATCAACAGTCCTCCATTGTGGGACCTGCTTGTGTGTACCCAGTTAGGGTTGTGGACTTTCCCCAGAAGGTCAGAGATTGCACAACTCTTCTTTTTGTGACTATAGGTAGCAGAACTTTCCCCTCAGCAACTTCCCCTGACTAGGTTTGGAATCTCCATTTTGAGTCTGCCTCCCATTCACTTGACTGCTCCCTAACTGCTTTCCAAGTGGTCGAGCAACCCAAACCCCTGTCCACAAGGGGTAAGATAATAAGATATTTCAAAATTAGATATTTCGAAATAATGCTGTAGTGTAGACATACCCTTGAGGTTCAACGGGGACCATACTCAGAACTGAGAAGAGGGAAACTGAGAGGCATAAAGAAAAGAAGGAATTACTCGGGACATACCTTCTGTACATATTAAAGCCCCATTCATAAATGAGAAGACATTTGCTGAAGCTCAGATTACCGTCTGTAAGTGTGGAAAAGTGAGACAACAAACAGGCATTACAACATTTTGTGTAGGTCGTTAGCAATTCTGCTTCTTTGAAGAAGTCTCTTTTGCATCTCAGGTTGGGGAAAATGTTGCTTTCCAACTGACTCAGATGATCTTTAAATGCAGGCTCATCTATGTTGCTAGCTGACACAAAGGAGGGAATTTGTGTTGCTATGCACTCCATTAGCAGTTTCTCCAGATCTCTATTCCAGTATTTGGGACTCCAAGTTGAAACAGATTCCATGTCTTTGCCACTGTCAAACCATTCTTTTTCTTTCTCTTTCTCCCACTTCAGTGATGCACCTACTGATTTCAGTGGTTCGAGTAATATATTATCACCTCCACTGATAGCTTCTTGCACAACTGACCACATTTTTTCTGCTATTTTTTTGTAAAGTGAATCAATCTTCATTTTGGTCTTGTGTTGAGATTGTTCCAGATCATAAATGTGATTACAAGCTTCAAGAAATTTTGCTTGATCTATCAATTCACAAATGGCTTGACCTGAAACAGAGTAAAAACACAACCAGAAGTTTATTGGTTGATCTATAGACTTTTCTATGGCAATCATTACAGCAATTACTAAGCATCACACATATAATAAGAAGGAATTATCATAATAGCCTTGTTAGGTATGGAAGTGGTGGTATTCCCATTATACAGGTAAGGAAACTGAGGCCCAGTGGGTTAAATGATTTGCCCGCAGTCATCTATAATTAAGCTTGGCAGAATCTTGACAAATAGTGTTGATGTTAACAAGTAGTACTGATGTTTGTTTTTTAATACTTGTTTCTATTTTATCCATTTACATTTTCACAGCTGCACAAGATTATGGTGTTTAATATTTTATTCATTTGTATTGATTTAAACTTTCACAGTTCTGGGATATGGGAGGGTCAGACAATTATTTAATGACAATATATGTTGCGATTCAAAAAGTTAAAGCTTTATAATGATTAAAACACTATTGTCAACTTCATGAATCAAAATATACAAAGCAAATAGCCTTAAATCTATCTCTAATAAGTTCTCAAGCAGCAGTTTTCTTATTCTGCCTATCTGTAAACTTTGATTGTTAGTGATGGAAGTATTTTTATCAATGGGTGTGCACAATGGTGTGCACAAAGAGAAAACAATATTTACTGACATTTACCAATACACATCTAACTCTTCCAAGCTTAACTCTAGCAGAGCCAAGAAGGGAACCCAGATTGCCTGGGATCTTATGCTGCTCCCAGTGATATAGAAGATAGCTGAAAAGGCTGGTGTAACTGGTCACCAATCTAGAAACAATTTCAAATCCATCTGTGGAGAATGAGAGAGTTGTATGTTATTTTTTATACCTATCGGCTACGTCTACACTGGCCCCTTTTCCGAAAGGGGCATGCTAATTTTCCAGGTCGTAATAGGGAAATCCACGGGGGATTTAAATATCCCCCGCGGCATTTAAATAAAAATGTCTGCCGCTTTTTTCCGGCTTGTAGAAAAGCCGGAAAAGAGCATCTACACTGGCCCCGATCCTCTGGAAAAAAGCCCTTTTCCGGAGGATCTCTTATTCTTACTTTGATTTACTTTGAAGTAGGAATAAGAGATCCTCCGGAAAAGGGCTTTTTTCCGGAGGATCAGGGCCAGTGTAGACGCTCTTTTCTGGCTTTTCTACAAGCCGGAAAAAAGCGGCGGACATTTTTATTTAAATGCTGGGGGGATATTTAAATCCCCCGCGGATTTCCCTATTACGACCTGGAAAATTAGCATGCCCCTTTCGGAAAAGGGGCCAGTGTAGACGTAGCCAGAGTGAAAAGAGGAAGGAAGAGAGAAAAATAGCAAAGACTAGGTTCAGGCCATAGGAAGCAAAGCATCTCTAAGGAGACAAACAAGAAGCCAATGACTGGGGAATACATAATACCTGCCTCCAGCTTCTATGGCAAAGGGCTCTCCCAACCTAAACCAGGGTCAAAGGGGATGCTAAAAGCTTAAAGATGTTGGCCTAGGAAAGATGGGAGTTGAGTGTGTTTTCACCATACCACACTGACAGATACACACATTGGGAGAGGGAGTCCCAAGAGCACGTTGCAGAATGCAGTATCACTCTTCCAACCAGTGACAAGACTAACTGTTGTGTGGAGTTCAAAATTTGCAAAGAAAGATTATGGTGTAGGTTGGGGGGAATAAGCACACAGTCAGTTTTGCTAAATACCTTTGCTCTGCATGCTTTGTACCTTTGAGTAAATAACCAATGCTTTGTTCTGAAGAAGCTATTTCTGTGTCCCTGCACCCCATTCTGTCAGAGGTTGCCAAAGGAAAAGGACATGCAGATGCCAAACCTTGTTGGGCTGTCAGGTTAGCAGGAGAGCTGCATCCTGAGATTTTGTATAAGCCACATGAATCCATCCATGAGACTAGTTTAGGTAGCCAGGTCTGTCACCTGAGCGGTGCACTCAAGGGGGACTAAGGGTATGTCCACACTGTACCGTGGTACTGAAAATAGCACTGGAGCCAGGCCACAGGACTGAAGCCAATCCATGGTGCAGCTGCTCATGGGTCAGGGCTGCAGTACTAAAAATAGCACTGAGGCCCTGGCTCCAGCCCAAGCACACAGGGCAGCTGCCCGCCATGCTGCCCTGCCCAGCAGGTGTCAGAATGGCAGAAAGGAAGGGAAGGGGCAGGAGGATAACTAAACAGAAGGTGGGCGTGAGGAGATGAAGGAGCTTGTGCTGAAGGGAAAGGAGGGGGCCAGAGCAAGAGAAGAAGGGGGAAGGCACCACGGGGAAAGGTGGAGGAGAGACTAATGCCAAGGGGCCAAGAGGAGACAATGTGGAGAAAAGGCAGGAGGAGAATGGGGAGAATGGGAAGGTGTCTGTGGGGGTGGGAGAGGGTAGGGGACAGGAAGAAGAGGGGGAGGAGTGGATGCGTGGAGAAGAGAGGTTGAAAGGAGGGGTGGGCATGAGGAAGGCATGGGAGGGAGCAAGTCATGTGGGAGGGGGCAGAGAGGTGTGAGGAGAACTGGAGCAGAGAGTGGTGAGGGGGTGTGCACCACAGGGGAAGAGAGCAAGGGGGGAAGTGTTGGGAGGGCAGAGCAGTGAGGAAAGAGGGAGGCACCAGGAAGGTGCAGGGGGTAAGGGAAGGTGCAGGTGCCAGGGGGACTATGGAGGTGAAGCAGAAGGGGAGGGGAGGAGAGTGGAAGGAGGGACGAGCACCAGAAGACAGAGGAGAGAGGCAGGGCAGGTGGGTAGAGGGAGGTGTTAAGAGAGGGGATTTGGAGGGGAGCTAGAGGAGAGGTGGGCACAGAGGGGAAGGACAGGTGCAGGAGTCAGTGAGGATGTGGAGGCAGGGCATGTGCCAGGAGGACTGAGGGGAGTGAGAAGGGCAGGAGCCAGAACAGAGGAGGGGGGCAGCAACAGGCACCAGGGGAACAGATGGGGCAGGGGAGGGTGGGAGACATGGCAGCAGAGGGGGAAAGGGAGAGGTTTATAACTTGGGTGCCACAGCGGCACACATCCGAACAAGCACACATGACCTCAATATTGGTGCACAAGGCAAAACTCAATCCGCTCAGAGATGGAAAATCTTAGAGGGAACAATGGTCAGGGCTTACCTTCCAGGACTCCTATTCCGCTCCCCCATCACCCACTCTTGCCACTCTACCAGCAGTGGGGGCTCACCGAAATAACCCCTTCTAGCTACACCACTGATTCCTACAAAATGCTTTGTCAGATTTTCATCCACTTAAAAAGAGTGCTTTTAACTCTCTGCTTCTTACAACAACTGCTAAATATTAATTGCCCGTGGCAACAGATTTCATTGGTATAAACATTTAAGGGCCAATAGAGGGAGCTGTGTTGGCATAAATTACTTACACATGCCTCCCTGCACATTAAGGGTGTATCTACACTGCATTCGTAGCTCGAAATAAGCTATGCAATTTGAGCTACACAAATTGTGTACCTTATTTCAAGTCAATTTTGAAATAACTTATTTCATAATTTGGTGCTGTCAATACAGTGCCAAATTTTGAAATAACCCACTATTCCGAAATGTCCCTTACTCGTCATGGAATCAAGTAACAGAGGGGTAGCCATGTTAGTCTGAATCTGCATAAACAACGAGAAGTCCTGTGGCACCGAACAGACTAACGGATTTATTGGAGCATAAGCTGTCGTGGGCATGGACCCACTTCGACAGATGCGTTAGACCCATGCATCTGACGAAGTGGGTCTTTGCCCACGAAAGCTTATGCTCCAATAAATCTGTTAGTCTATAAGGTGCCACAGGACTTCTCATTCCTCATGGAATGAGGTTAACAGGGATGTTGGAATAGCGGTTATATTTCTGGGAACCCGAAATAGCACTGCAGTGTAGACGTAGCCTAAAGGAAGAGCAGACAACCCTTAACACCAAACTTTGTTTTATATCACATCTTTCTTACAAAATAATCCAAGGCCTTTTGCAGGGATGAAAATTACATTTGCAAAGTGAAACACCAATGAGCAACAGAAAGGGGAGTGAAATTTTAAAAATGTAGGTAAGGAGAAATATACATTTCAGAGAGGATTTGAAATGAGAGGTGAATCCTTGAGGAGAGAGATAGAAAGCCTATTCCAAATGGCAGGAGCTGAAGGAAACAGTCTCCATGGTGAGAAGAAACAGAGGAGGCCAGTGCTAGCTAAGCCATGTGGAGAACAGACGAGCAGAGAGTACCTGAGAGATACTGCCTCCCACCAGACTCTTTGTCCACAAGCATCTCTTCAGTTTCCTCCTTCTTAGGGGACAAATTCTTCAGCACTTTGACTGCAACATTTTTCATTTTCTCTATCCCCTTAGATTTCTCCTTCTCCTTCTCCTTCTCCTTCTCCTTCTGAGTCTCTTTAGGAAGCATCTGTGCATTTTCACCAGAAGATGCTCCCCGCAGCTTTCCCCTTCTAAAGGCTCGGCTGCAGGCAAGCCTCACTTTTCTCATACTCCCAGCAAGAGCCAAGCGTTTGCTATGAGATGGGAAAGGCTAACTGGAAAATACTAGCAACACTGTAGCTGAAAGTGCTTTTACAGTCTCAGCCTTAGGACTGATTCTGTACTACTTCCTGCTTTAACAGACATTCAAACAACTCAGTCCGTTTCATATTACAGTGTAGTCCAGTAGTTTTTATATGCTGCCAGCTCTATTATGTAAATGATCTCCTGTAGCATTACAGCAGCAAACATTTCATACGTCACCTCACCACAAGGGCTCAGGAAAAGCCCGTGGAATTTTTAGCAGTTTCTAAATTATTAAAATTCCCCTCGATCCTGCCAATTTATTTAAATTCAGAGTCCTCTGAGTCCAACAGATTTTGTTATTGACAGGGTCCATGGAATATACAAAGCACATTTGTGCTGAGGCACATGCCTTTCTAATGATTCGGAGATATTTCTCAGCATCAAGAGCAACCCTTATTTAGGCCCAAACTGACTTCATGAAAATCAAGTATTCCACCGTTGGGTGTGCAAACCCACAAAGGCCTGGCATTGGTTTTCATTGTTGAGCTATGAAGCTCTTATGTTGGGCCTGAATCCCTGAGGTACCCAGTGGCTGCCTGGGATTGCCCCCCTGCAGTTATATAAAACCCAGCATTTTTAAAGGAAGAAAATGAAAATTTTAAAGTTATGGGGGTAACTACCCCTTTGGTTATCTACCAACCAAGAGAACCAGTCAGTCTCTCTCATCCCTCTCTATACGGTATTCTACATAACTAGGGTGCTTCTTTTCATATATGAAAGTACAGTAGCTCCCATTGTTATTCATGGGGAAGGCTGTAAACATGGAAAGAGGAATAGACACATTAAAATGCACCTTAAAATGTATCTATTGTACTACTCAAAGTCTACTGATCTGTACCTGTTTACACCAGTTACGGATCCAACCCTGAATATTTAAAGGGCAAGGCAACTTGCTCTCCTATAAATGCTCATAATCCCCAACTTTCTTCCAGTGTAATTATGACCTACTAGAGCAGAGAAAATAATCTGTAATGAAAAGAAAATCAATTTATTAAATTTTGCTCTGTGTGTGTGTGTGTATCTGTGTCTGTGAAATGAGCATAAACAGAATGTAATTATCTTGTCATTCAAATGTATTCACTAATTGCATTTCTGCTAATAACTCTTGGGTGGCAAATAAATTAATCATCATGAATGTTAGAAATTTGTGCTATATTGCTGTACAGGTCACCTAGTATTGCTTTTCTCTTTCAACTGTCAATAAGTAACCCCAGGCTGTGAATTACAAAGCTGAGAATTCTATAACTGAATACACATTCTGAAATTTGCTTTTTGGCAAACATTAGAGAATCCAAGCTGAGATTCTGATGTCCTCCAGCAGTTCATGCAAGGTAAGGTCAAGAAGAACACAAATATTTGCAGCAAACCAAATCTTGCTCTCACCTTGGGAGTAAAAGGAGCAGGACTCAGATGGACCCATTTATGTGCAGAAAAAACACATTTGACCTCATCATAAAGGGGAAAATGTTTTCCCTCTCTCTTGAACACAGCAGAAATAGTTAAGTTTTAATGCACTGGGAGTGGTGGTAAAGTGCAGAAAGCCCAGAAAAAGGTCCTCAATATGGTAAGCCACATGGCTATGCTTCATGATGTGTCCTTTGTCCCAGATAGCAAAAGATCCAATGGAAGGGTAACATAAGTAAGATGAGGAGCAGACTCCAATGCATAAGTAGCCATGAATATCTGCTAGTCAAACTCCACACTGGAGGCAGAGGAAAATTCTTCCCCCCTCAACAATAAAAGGTCATTTTCTTGGGCTTAGCTCTAGGAAGAGGCTCTGGCACAGACTGAATTCATAGACAATAAATCTAATTTAATGCATCAAATTGCAAAAAGGTAAATTCATGTCTTAAAACTAATGGGAGAAAGGCAATTGAGGTACTTAAGGAGCACTCAAGGAAGGTAAGGCCACTGCAGAGAAACTAAATGAATCCTTTGCATCAGTCTTCATTGCTGAGGATGTGAGAAAGTTTCCGGCACCTGAAACATTCTTGTTAGATGACAAGTATGCATTTTGCGTAGCTGCAGTTGTGTACCTTAAGCCTTCCTTCCAGGTTCAGTGTAGATCTGCCCTCAGTCCACTAACAGCTTAGCCCTGCCATATTATCTGTGGGCAGAAGAACCCACATTTCACTTTAGCTGGGTTGTGAGCAGCTGTAAGGATCCACCCATGTGGATCTCTAAGGTGCTACAGGACCATTGTTGTTTTTAAAATTTTGTTAGTTACAGATTAACATGGCTACCTCTCTGAGACTTTCAAAATGGTTATAGTATTACATTCACAACACAACTTTCAATGGCTTTTTAGTCTCAGATATAACTAGAACTAGTACCTATATACATTTTTATATTACCAGATTATTTAATTTACAAAGTACAGCAATGAAGGGAGAACATTAAATCCTTTCTTTTACGAAATTGCAAATATTCCATGGAGTTGCTTCATAGTATCCTACTACAGTTTTCACTTTGTCTATACAGGGCTTTATAGTGTGGCTACTTTACAAAGATACAAGGAATTTAGCGTCTACACTATAGATACAGGCACACATACATTGTCTCATAGATACCGCAAGAGGAAAGTCCAAATCCTGCTTTCACATTAACAAGTACAACTCTCACTGAATTCAGTGTGCTGTGTGCAAGTATCTAAAGTCAATTTGGCTCAATGACTTTAAAGACTTACCAGAAATTATTTCTGATGCAGTAATATTTATAGTATAGATTCTTTAACTATGTAAAGAAATTTCAATGAGGTTCAAGAATAAGGCTCCCTTGGGTCATTAATGGTGCAGGCCAGTGTTTTTCAATTTCAGGCCTGTGGACCCATGTCGTCCACAGACTATGTCCATGAGGGTCTGTAAAAGGTCATTGTTGCCATAGAACAGTGATTTTTCAACTGTGATCTGTGGACAACATGGGGGTCCACAGAGTACATCTAAGATTTCCAAAGGGGTCTGACCTACATTTCAAATTTTTAGAGGTTAACAACAACTCTCTGACTATGGTTATCCAGCCAATTATGCACCCATCTTATTGTGGCCCTATCTAAGTTATATTTGCCTAGTTTATCAATAAGAATATCATGCGAGACCGTATCAAATGCCTTACTAAAGTCTAGGTATATGACATCCACCGCTTCTCCCTTATCCACAAGGCTCGTTATCTTATCAAAGAAAGGTATCAGATTAGTTTGGCATGACTTGTTCTTCACAAACCCATGCTGGCTATTCCCTATCACTTTATTACCTTCCAAGTGTTTGCATATGATTTCCTTAATTACCTGCTCCATTATCTTCCCTGGGACAGATGTTAAACTGACCGGTCTGTAGTTTCCTGGGTTGTTCTTATTCCCCTTTTTATAGATGGGCACAATATTTGCCCTTTTCCAGTCTTCTGGAATATCCCCTGTCTGCCATGATTTTTGAGGAACTGCTCCCTGCAGTGTCAGTAGAGGAAGTTTGGGGACAAATTAATAAATAGGACAGCAATAAGTCACCAGGCCCAAATGGTATGCACCCAAGAGTTCTGAAGGAACTAATATTTGAAACTACTAACTGTGAGGATGTCACTTATTGCTTAAATATATCTCTATAGCAGATGACTGGAGGATAGCTAATATTATGCTGATTTTTAAAGAGGCAATACTAGTAATTGCAGGCCAATAAACCTATTTCAGTACCAGGCGAAATGGTGGAAACAACTGTAAAGAACAGAATTACACATGGAGAAACTCAGTCTCTTGGGGAAGAGTCAATACAGCTGTTTGTAAAGGAAATCATGCTTTCCCAATACAGTAGAATTATCTGAAGGGCTCAACAAACATGTGGACAAGGAGGTCTAGTAGATATTGTGTACGTGGACTTTCAGAAAGCCTTCAACAAAGTCCCGTACCAAAGATTCTCAAGAAAAGTAGGCAGTCATCGGGCAAGAGGAAAGGACCTCTCATCAATCTGTAACTGGTTGCCAAACAGAAACCATAAAGTATGAATAAATGTTCAGGTTTCAGAATGGAGAGAAATAAATAGTGGTGTCCTCCAAGGATCTGTACTAGATTCAGTGATGTTCAACACATTCATAACTTATCTGTAAAATAGGGTAAACAGTAAGATAGTAAACCTTGTAAATGATACAAAATTACTCAGGATAGTTAAGTTCAACGCAGACTGCAGAATTATAAGGGGAGCTCACAAAACTGGGATTCTGAGCAACAAAATGGCAGATGAAATTCAAGGTTGATAAATGCAAACAATGCACACTGGAAAACTATACAAACAGGGTGTGTCTAGACTACGGGGGTTTTTCGAAAAAAGTGGCCTTTTTTTCGAAAAAAACTTCCCCTGCATCTAGACTGCTGCTGCGTTCTTTCGAAAGTAAATCGAAAGAACGCAGCAGTTTTTTCGACCCAGAAAACCTCGTTTTACGAGGAATAATTTATTTAGTTATTTATTTAAATATTTTACCCTGCCTTTCTATTTAAAATATTCAAGTGCTCTTTTGAAAAAAGGCGCTATATAATGCAAACTGTGCTTTTTCAAAAGAGAGCATCCAGACTGCCTGGGTGCTCTCTTTCGAAAAAGTGGCTTGCTTTTTCGAAAGTACTGGTTGTAGTCTAGACGCTCTTTTTCGAAAGAGGCTTGCAGTCTAGATGTAGCCCCAAAAAGATGGGGTCTAAAATAGCTTGAATGGCTCAAGAAAGAGGTCTTGAAGTAACCGTGGATAGTTTTCAGAAAGCATCTGCTCAATGTGCCCTAGTAGTCAAAATAGACAATAGAATGTTAGGAACCATTAGGAAAGGGATAGATAATAAAACAGAAAATATTATAATGTTACTATATAAATGCATGGCATGCCCACAACTTGAATATTGCATGCATTTCTGGTCACACCAGCTCAAAAAAGATATATAGAACTGGAAAAGGTACAGAGAAGGACGATTTAAAATGATCAGATATGGAACACTTTTTGTATGAGGAGAGATTAAAAA